TCGAAAGCATCCTTTCGAGCATGAATCGATTGTATGGCCTCCGTGATATAGTGAAAAAAGAGCGAATTGGCAGTAATAGTTCTTGATTCTAGCAATACCACCTTATCCAGGGTGAATTCTTTACAAAAGAAAACCTTGATATACAGTACGCTGCCAACAGGTGTTAGAGAACGAAGCTGTATACCCCACGGAGCTTAGAATATAAATTAGATCAAATAGTACAGATGGCCCTGGTTGGCGTTGTCATTAAGTTTCTGGTTGCGGCTTTTTCCTGATAGTGAATCTTTGTCAGTCTCTGCCCAGCCAAAAGCCGAAAAGCATCTGAACTTAGATGAATCGATACAGTCTTAGGCTATGTCGTATTCTTTGCACAGCCATTACCCAGCTGTCTACGTAGAGAAACTCTTCTGGACAGGATATCGAATGGAACATTCGCACCCAAAATCGCACCCAAAACTCCCACCAAAACTCACACCAAAACTCACACCCAAAACTCCCACAAACCCCACCCAAATCTCACCCAGATTCCACCCAAATCCCACCCAGATTCAATAACGCAGCTTATTACATAGCATCTCTGAAAGCTGCCAGCATCTCTAGAAGACGCCCGGCGCCAGGAGCGGAAAACAGCAGTACACCATCTTTTCCCGCTGGATTCCCCCGCCCTTGCCCCCGCCCTCTGCCGCCCGCTCGCGGCCTGCACACAACGCAAAACGCCCTCACGTGATGCGCCCAGGGACCGGCCCCAAATCGCACCCAGTCCATAGAAGACACCTCTAGCAGGCGCCAGACAGCACTCCTCCCCCAGCGCCAAGGCCCCCAGGAACACGCCAAACACACCACCGCCGTGACTGCACATGGACTTGCTCAGCATCCTCGACGGCACGCCCGAGCCGCCCATCGTGGCGCTCCACCTCCCCGAAATCAACACCCTGGGCGAGTACCATTTGGCCACGCCCATGTTCGAGTTCCAGAAGGAGCTCACGGACCAGATCGTGTCGCTCCACTACCCGGACATCCTCAAGTACTGCGAGACGGACGCCGCCACGCACCTGCTCCACAAATCGTTGCAGATTTGCGTGGACAACTGCCTGCTCGTGGCCACCCACCCGTACCTCCTCATCCGCCACTACATGCCCAAGAACCTCGCCGCCAAGGAGCTCCCGGCCAAGTTGGCCGAGACCAGCGGCAAGTTCAGCGTGCTCCGCAACCTCGTGCACGTGGTGGCGGCCAGTGCCGCGCGGCCCGCCGCCACGCACGTGGCCGTTGTGTTGCGCAACGACCCCCGCACCTTTGACTTGGCCGAGGCGCTTCTCTTGGGCGCCGCCGGGCCGCGCGGCGTGGTGCGCCACGTGGGCGCCAGCGTCAAGAAGGACCTGGCCAAGTCCGCGCGCTCCGCGGCACGCGAGCCGCCGGCCGTCACGGTCCACTTGCTTCCCAGCGACGGGCAGCTCACACGCACAGACGGGGCGCTTGCGCACGTGCGCTTCGACGTGTTTGTGGCCTTGGACTGCAGCGTGGACACGGCGCACCCGTCGGTGGCGCGCTGGCGCCGCCAGGGCCGTGCGCCGGGCGAGTGTGCGGCCGCTGTCATCCGCCTAGTGCCGATGCTCTCGGTCGAGCATTGCCTCGTGGACGCGGCGCGCCGCGGGGGTGCCGGTGGGGGCACGCAGCGGCTCGGTAGGGGAAGAGGGGAGACCGGCGGAGAGACCGGGGGTACTACAGAGGAAGGGATCAAAGGTACTACAGAGGGAGAGGTCAGCGGTACTACCGACGGAGAGGCCAGAAGTACTACCGACGGACAGCCTGCAGGCACCAACGGCAAGGCCACCCAGAGCATCCCCAAGAGCGACCGCCTCTACCAGCTCGTCGCCGGGGCCGTGTGCTTGCGCGACCAGATCGGCAACTTGCCCCCCGATTTGCACCCCATCTACAAGCAGAATCTCTCGTACTTGGCGCCCACGTTCTTCGACCACGCGCTTCGCCCCGGCCCCGACTTCGCGCCCTGGCCGCTCCCCGAGCTCTGCCGCATACCCCGCTTCCTGCCCGCGGACGTGGAGCGCTCCTTGCTGACCGAGGTCGTGTACCACTACACGCCCTACGACACGCCGCCAGACGCCCTGGACCTGGCCCTTGCCGCCGGCCCGCCCGCCCACAAGCGCCGCTCCTACTACGACGCCAAGCGCTTGCAGCTGGACTACGTCACCAACCCGTTGCGCAACGACTACAATACGCTCAGCGGCATCCACAACCACCACGCGCGGCCCGCGGGCGGCGCCCCGCACGAGGGCGTCCTCACGCATTTGCTCGTGTCGCAACTCAACTGCAACTACACGGCCTTGGCGCTCTTGAAGCAGGAGCACGACGCGTACGCGGCCCACGCGGCGCCGCCACACCACGCAGCGTGTGGCCGCCGCGTGGCCGACACCAAGAAGGCGCTCGCGCTGGTGCTTGAGGACGTGGACCACGCCGAGCAGCGCTTGGCGGTCACGCAGAAAAAGACCGCCAAGCGCGCGCACGAAAACACGGCCTTGGCCGACCGCCACAAGCGGCTCAAGGCCGACTTGGCGGGCCTTGCAGACCGCGGCGACGTGCGCGACAACGCGCTCCGCCGCTCGTTTGTCCAGCGCCAGCTCCGTATATGGGACTTGCAGCACGACGTCAAGGCGCTCGTGGCCACGCGTGCGGCCCGCGCCGACGACAAGAGCTACATGCGCAAGGAGGCGGCCAACTGCGAGGCAGCCATGGCGCAGTCCCAGGCGCAGATTGCCGAGCTCGAGGCCGACATCGTCCTGTTGCAGGGAAAGCTCGCGCTGCTGGCCGAGCTCGAGGCCCAGGCGCAGCGGGCGTTCTATGACCAGAGAGCCGCCCTCCAGGCGCAGATCGCCGCCGCAAAGACCGACAACGCGGCCTTGCGGGCCCGCCTTGCCAAGACCTTGGCGTACTTGAAGGAAACGTCGCATTTGAAGAAGAGGAAGGGCCGGGGATTGACCCCGAGCGCCCGCTAGTTCAGAAGTGTCCAGAGACCGCCATTGGGTGTCACCAGGGCCCCGCCGAGGAGCCTGCGGGGCCGCGCGAAGTGACTGTTGCCGAATGCATGTGTGTCGTGAACCTCTTCATTGTACACTTGTGCCTGGACTGGCATCGGACGGCAAGTTCAACCCTGAGCAAGTGCCCAGTATCTTTTTCTGACCGACCCATACAATGAAAGGTGCTGCCTTCAGTCATTGACATTGGCGAAAAGTATCTATGTATCGAAGCAGGCCTATCCAAACATGGCTATGGGCGCTGGCAACGTTTAGTCTCTGAAAGGACTGGCCGTGGTCAAACAGTCAGAGAACGCCGTGCCGAAAGGTCTGCTTGAGCACTTTGCCACGCTCCACGTCGCCCTCTCGAACCCAACTGGACACGATACCCCATTCATGGGTGCTGACCAGAGACCGCTTTTCAAGAATTTCTTTGCATCGGAAAGAGAAGGCTCATACTTGTTGCTCATAATGCTGGCGTACATTAGCTGGCTATAAAAGAAGCTGCGGTGTGCTCGGGAGCTAGCCACGTCAAAGATAATATATCGGCAACTCCGACTGCATGGCATCAAAAATCAAGCAGTTGTTGATGGGACTGTCCTTCTGCCCGAAGTACTGGATCACGTCCTGCGCCAACACCCCACCTACTATCGCAGCCGTGGGCGCAAATTCCGTATACGCCTGGCTTGCTAATGCGCTCAAGTACTCTGCGCTGATCGTGCTTTCGGGAAGCCCCAATCTTTCACACACAACTTTCAGCACCTCGCCCAAGTGTTTTTGGTCCACAGGTTCGCTGGCATTGGAGGGCCGTGCGATCTCAAACAACGACATCACCAATGGCAACGCCCCCGAGAGCCGCTTGAGCTGCCGCCTGGTCAATTGTGAGGGCAATTTCGTCGACGTGAAGATCTCCGCTAGCGGCACGTATGTGTCCTCCACAGTGACGCGCTCCTTGTTTTCTTTTTCCACGGACTCCACGGCCGTTATGGTTTTGACACCGTTGATCGCCGTGCCGGAAGTGCGGCTTTGATTTCCTTTGTCAAGATTCTTGATAGATGTGTGCTGGATCAAGTCCGTGAGAATGTATCCAAACATCCCGTGAAGACCGGCCACATACAAGGGAATTTGAAGTTTTCGCGTGAGTTCGTTGATGCGCAAAAGCTCCGACTTGTCGAGTTCGGTGGCAATAACCATGTCGAAGGTTCGGAGATAGTCCGCACCAATCTCTAGAACATCATTTGTACTTGTCAGAAGATGCACGCGCGTGTTGAGCTCTTGGATCGACGAGATGACATGGGGTAGTTTACGCTGGCCGATAATGGAGTCGTCGTTTGGCAAGAAAAACTGCGTGGCAAAGTCTTCCTCTTTCACTACGGAATCGTCAAGAATCTCGATGGAGTGGATCCCTCCTAAAACCAAGTTTTTAACTGTTTCCGTGCCGACACCGCCGAGCCTGATCACTAAAACCTTGGCTGATCGCAACCGGAGCTGAGTTTCGGTGCCCCAGAGTCGGATCTGGCGGTCGTAAAGCGCGATCTCGTCTGTTGGTTAACATACTTATCCTGGGACACATGGAAGCACGACCCGGGATACGGCGGGCTAAGTATCAATGAAGATATGGCAGTTCCCCTCGTATGCCCGATAACCTACGCTTTTTTCAACTGTGCTTTATACATACCAGCACTGAGTTTTTCGGGCGTTGACATTTGCGACTGGATGAGATGGAGCGAGCTTTCCCAACTTGTTTACCATGTAATGGGCGAGAAAGCCTACATGCAGAAACCGCTTTGGGTGCGGGCGCACTTGTGCGTTTGACGAGACCGTTAATTAGTATGATGTTTTGGGGCGTACATACAGTCTAAAAAAACATTTCCTCGTTCCATGTTTGAACATTGGCTCAGGATCAGATGGTGAGGCATACTGCAAAGTTTGTTTAGTTGGATCCGGACACAACCAACTTCTGCAAGTGCGACATGAAAACCTGCAAAGAAACATCATCTGTAAGTACCACAGCGCCACTGGCCATTTCTTGCGAGTTGTAGGACGTGCTTGGGTTAAGTTTCGAGTACAAGAACCTGGCCTGGGAGCCACCTTCTTCGGTGTCAATGAATCTGGGCAAGGGGAACCGGTCAACCAAGAGTTCACCTGCTTCCATTTTAGGATCATTCAACAACCTCTTGAAATCGACATATTCTTCTTGGTCCTGGTATCCCATCTTGCGCCATTGGGCCACAGTTCGGCCGTGGTAGATCAAAATGTGGAAGAATGTGTCCAAAAGCAAGATGCGGTCATCCTTAATGGAGACAGAGTCCAACAACACGGCTTCGGGCTCTTCTAGGTCCAACCCAAACGCAGTCAAGGTTGGTTGAATCATGATCAACGAGTTGTTGGTGTCCTCAGTCATCAAGATGTGTCTGTAGAATGCCGTTTCGTCGGGCGAGTTGTTGAAGACCTGCAAAAACTGGGACCTTCTCAAGTAGTAGATGAATTGCGGGTACAATGCGAACTGTGGATGCAACCTGAAAGACTCCTCCACGTCCTTTCTGTAGTCGGCGAACTTCTGGCACAATTTGATCAACATGCGGTCGATCCACCGCAACACATCGGCACCGTCATCTTGCTCGGACTTGAAAAGGGTCACTCTGGCCATCAATACCGCGGCGGCCTCCTGGTCAAACGACTGCGCCAAGACTTGTTCGTCTCCAGTCAACATGTTGGACACCGTGGTGACCCTCAAGCGGTACGTGCCCGAGGAGTGCTGGTAGTGCGTGATGAACTGGATGTACGACTGCGCATTAGGGGGCAACGAGGTGGTGTTGGCGACATCAAAGAACACCGCGTACGAATGGTTGGGCGAGAGCGAGCAGATGCGGTACTGGGTGGTGCCGCCAACCCCGACCTCGTTGTCGGACACGCTGTTGTTCTTGACGCCGAGCGACGACGCGTGGCCGATCAAGCCACTGACCTTCAACTCGCGCGAGCACTTGATGTCCAAGGTGGCGTTGAAGCCCATCAACAAAAAGTCCTCGGAGTCCTTGTTGAACAACTTCAAGAAGGACTGCTTGAAGATGGAAGTGGTGAACGCGTCGGACAAGAGCAACACACCGCCCGTCTTGCTACAGAGAGACTTCATCTCCAAGAAGCCGACCTGGTCCAAGCACCCGCCGAAAAGATCGATGGTGTGCGAGTTCTTCACGGCCTTGGCCGAGATCAGCTCGTAGAACTTGACGGCCTTCTTGTAGTGCTTGGCGTTGTCCTTGTCGATGTCGGAGTGCGAACGGATGGACTCCTTGAGCTTGTTGCCGACGATCAAGCCGGGCGTCAACGTGCACAGCCCGGCCGAGAACAAGAAGATGCGGGCGCCAAAGCCAGCGAAGGACGCGCCAAGCAAGGTCGTGGCGATGTTGATGGCAGAACCCGTGCAGCGCAAGGGCCGGTCGCCGTAGGCCACGGCCCAGGGGTCCGCAGACAAGTTTTCCAAGAGCGCGGTCAACAGGTACTCCACGTCCTCGAGAGGCAAGAAGAAGCGGTGCAAGGAGTTGGGCATGGTGATCTGGCCCGGCTGTGCGGCCACGGGCTTGTTCAACATGTCTGCGACCTGCTTGTCCAGGTACTCCTTGTCGCCGCGGAAAATGTACGACTTGCGGATGGTGGGCAGCGCCAAGTCGTACACTTGCACCATGGTGCCGAACGTGATCAAGCCCACCAACGCGTTGGGCGGCAAGTACGACAAGGAGATCACCAAGGTCTCTTTCAACGCCTGCAAGTTGTCCTGGTCCTGGCAGAGGTCCACGACAAAGAGAAAGATGGGCGGCTGTTTCACGGGCTTGGCCGTGATGTACTCAATCGTCGACAGCACGGGGCTCAACTCAAGCGGCAAGTTCTCTTGCGTTATGCCCTGGTAATGCGGCGGCAACTGGCTGCGGGTGCCGCACAAGGGGCAGATCCAGAAGCCCGTGGGGTCGATGGAGCAGTAGGGGTTCAAGATGCTTCTGCACAGCGCGTTCTGACAGTAGCAGGGGTCGTACGCGGCGATTGGCATGTCCTCTCTATATTTGAGCGGCGTGTAGAGCGCCCCGGTGGGGATGACGATCTTGGCCGCTTCGGCCTTGGTGGACGGGAACGAGTTCCAGGCAAAGCGAACGCCGTTGATATCCTCGGCTTCTTCGAAATCCATTCTGGGGGGCTGTTGCGCTTGTTTTTGGTGGGCGTGGGTGGATGCGAGTGTTTTTGGTAGTAGCAGGTCCGTATCAGGCCGATTTTCTCCGATTTTTTTTTACAGAGAGAAGAGCGGGGCCGTGCTTTCGATGCTGCCGTCGCTGTGTCTGAAAAGAAGGTGTTTTTGAAGAGATTCGGCGGCCAGTGGTGGGAACTCGCAGGCTCGGCGCGTAGTGTCGGAACCTCTCAGGCGGCAATTGTCAGCAGTACGCCGTGGTGGTCGGGGTCCGAAAATAAGTCCGTTTCCAATTCCACAGGAGAGCCCGGTTGCAAAAAATGGGCTTGTGGGGATATAGGGGCAAACTGTGTGGACTTTCAAAGCACCGGTGGATCGGAAAACGAGGCCGGCGGATCTCGAAAAGCTCGCCGCTTAAGGACAACACACATAGTCGTGCGCGGCACAATTCTGCTGCCGGGCACAAGCACGTGTTTTGTGCTTGTTCGTGCTTCTGGAGGCGGCGGTAAGTAAGGATTGCCTGTTGTTTTGTTGTGACATCCGCCGACTTTCCTCTTATGTTTTGTGCTGGTGTTTGAGATACAGCCTGTGATTCGATGAACAGGTGCGCGTATCATCACCAACATCTTGACCATAATATAGACGTGCGCGTTATATTATATTCTAATCTCGGTGAAGACGGCGCGGGCTATTACGACAGCTTTATTTTCGGGACGGTGCGAATTATTACAACATCTTGATTTTAATGAAGACGGCGCGAGAGTAATAATCAACAGCCTCATTTTGGTAAAGAGGGGGCGAGTCCGAACCATAATAAAGACATGGTCAGTTATCACCAACATCTTGACTCAATAAAGACATGGTCAGTTATCACCAACATCTTGACTCAATAAAGACAGGGCGAGTTATTACCAACATATTGACTCAGTAAAGACAGTGCGAGTTAATACCAACATCTTAACTCAATAAAGACAGTGCGAGTTATTACCAGCATATTAACTTAATAAAGACAGTGCGAGTTATTACCAACATATTAACTCAATAAATACATTGTGAGTTATTACCAACATATTAACTCAATAAAGACATTGTGAGTTATTACCAACATATTAACTGAAAAGACAGTGCGAACATCTTAACTTAATAAAGACAGTGCGAGAGTTATACTTAATAGCCTTATCTTGATGAAGATGGTGCGCGAATGTTTAACAGTGTACAGCAAGAAGCTTGGTCTTTG